GGACTGATGGTTAAATAATACATTTATAAATACACACACACACACACACATACATACATACATACATATATATATGTATAAAGGTGATGACGGTTGTCATCAAGCTTTGATGACCGAGAAGAGACGTTACTTTGAGCCATTACTGCTGATTTCGTACATATACGAACCAACAAAGGCAAATAAGCATTCACATTACTTGACATAAAATAATCGCTTCTTACCTCATCAAAAAGGTTAGATTTACTGTATATTTAGCGCATTTAGGCATAAGCCGGTGAGTCTTCTTGACATATCTTTGCAAGGATGGTACGCTATTCCGAGCATGTCCGTCATGTGATGGACACATTTTCGCCCACATTTTTGGCGTCAAAGCGACGCGTGGCCACGAGGAATGGGCCGGTTTGTTTTGGTACTAGCCTTCTGCGAAACGCTTCACCGACACACTTTCACTTGAAACAGAAGTCAGCTCGACACTGCTGAGCCAAGAGCCTCGTGGACAGCGGATTTGCACAGAATTTCCGGCAAAAGGAAACCATCATTTGGCCCATTTGACAAACAACTGACAATAACGGATTGTCGTGATTTCGCCAGTCTCTAGGGGACTGGCCAATGTGTCTATCAAAAGCACAATCTCACGCGGTCTCAACAACCCGCGAGACCGCCGAGCTTCAGCAAGTCTGCGGATTCGACGTACCTTCGGCTTGAAACTGGGCGCCCGAAGGCCCCACGGCGCCGGAAGACGGCTCCGATGCACATGCCCGACGAAGTCGTGTCGAGACAGGCTTTGCATCGCGTCGGCCGCCTCGGCCGCCTCGCGCCTCCACAGCGGCCGACTGACCAGATGAACAGCCTCAGAAGTCTGCAATGGCGGCATCTTTCTGTCGCCTCTGCTGCCGTGGCGACGCGGACGGAAGGACGACTGTCTGGTCAACCGATCGAGCAGCGATTGCGCCCACAAAGAGCCATTCTCGGCCCGTTTCGGTTGCTCATCTCGAGCCTGCCAGTGTGAAGATGAGGCGCGGGGTGTGAAAGTTGATGAGCAGGCCTGCTGTGCTCCACCAACCGGTACCGAGTTGGTCGAGTCAACCCAGACCGAGTGTCAAGTGAACAATAGAGCGACAAAGCGCCAGAGACAAAAGGTTCAGTCGTCTCGAA